ATTTGTTTTGTTTTAAGGCTACTGTGAATGAGACTGTTTCCTTGATTCTTTTCTTGGTGGGTTCCTTATTGGTGTGCGGGAATGCTACTGCTTTTTGTGTGTTGATTTTGTATCCTGCCACTTGGCTGAATTTGTTTATTAGCTCTTAAGAGTGGAGTCTCTGGGGTATTTTATGTAAAGGATCATATCATCTGCAAATATAGTCTGGCTTCCTCCTTTCCTATTCATATCTCTCTTTTTTCTTTCTCTTGCCTGATTCCCTTAAAGTTTCAAGTATTACTTTGAAGAGGAGTGGGAGTGGATGAGGTAGGTCTGTTATATCTTTAAGGGATTTCTTTGTCCAATCTGCCAGTATGTGTCTTTTGACTGGGGGGTTAGGATTATTTACACCAAGAGTTATCATTAAAAAGTATTTAGTAATTCTTATCATTGTATTATTTGTTCTATGCTGATTTCTTTTAATTTTCCTTTTGGTAAAATCTCTCCCAGTGAGATTTATTCTTTCCTTTGGGTTCTTGGGTGTTGATGGCCTCATTGTTTAGCATTCCCTTATGTATTTTCTGCAATGCTGGTTTGGTGGTCATGAATTTTTTTTAAGATTTTGTCTCTGTCATGGAAGATCTTTATTTCTTCGTCTATTCTGAAGTACAATTTGGGGGGGGTATAGTAATCTGAGTTAGCAATTATTTTCTTTTAGGGCTGAAAGACTTCACTCCTGGCCTTTAAGTTTTGTGTTGAGAAATCTGCTGTTATGTTGATGGTTTTGCCTGTATAAGTTATTTGACACTTTTCTCTAACAGCTTTTGGTATTATCTTTTTGATTTGAATTTCTAGAACTTTGACTATGATGTATCATGGAGAAGTTCTTTTCTAGTTGTGTCTATTTGGGATTCTAAATGCTTCACTTAGCTGGGTATCCAACTCATCACCTAGATTAGGAAAATTTTTTGTATTGATTTGGGTGAATAAATCTTTATGCCATTAAATTCTATCTCTAACCCTTTCTTAATTCCAACAATCCTTGGGTTTGTTCTTTTAGGGTCATGTAGGAAGTCTTGGGAATTCTGATTATCTTTTGGGTATCACTAAGTAAATGACATGCTATCTCAACCTTGTTCTCAATCCTGATATTCTGTCTTCTGATTGATTGTGCCTACTGCTAAAACTTTCAATCGAATATTTCATTTCCATAATTTCTGTTTGATCTCTTTTCATATCTAATGTCTACTGAAGTGGTCTTTCATATCCTGCACTGCCTTCCTTAATTCAGCTTCTTATTTGTTTCTCCTTTAAATTCATTGATAATCTTAATTAATGCTTCATTTCACTGCTTACTTACATCTTTTTTTTTATGGTATTGGGGATCTACCTTGTGCTTATGAGGCAGGCATGGTGCCTCTGAGCTACATCCCCAGCCCTACATCTTCTTTAAGTTCATTCATCATTTTAATAATCATTTCAGTTAGCTGCATATTTGTCTCTTTTTTGACCTTTTCAATCATTTTTACCTGTTTTGAGTTGTTTGGAAATTCATCTACTTCTGTGTCTGTGAGATCCACTTTAAGGAGTTATAAACTTTTGGAGGCATCTTTTTGCCTTGTTTTCTCATGATTATTGTTTTTGTGTTGAAGTTTGGATCTGATGGACAGAAAGGGCCAGGGATTTAGCTCAGTGGTTATGCTGCCTGTCTTGATGGGACAGAAAGCTCTGCCACTATAGTAGAGATGTTTTTAGGAAGTGGATTTCTCCGTGTGATGGCTTTGGGGATGATCCTACTTAACCTCTTCAGAATACTGGGATCTATCCCTAGCATGAACTGCAAGGAGAGAACAATTACCAGTAATAGCAACATCCAAAGAGCCAATCATGCATCAACTCATAATATCAAATTTGTTTAAACAGTTTTCAAATCTTTCAATGTCCCAGGAAGACTAGCGAATAGTAATGATGGAGAACAGATGGGGAATTAGGAGGAGAAGGAAGAAAAGGGTGGGGCCTAGAGAAAGAGGAGGGAACATAAGAAAGAAGAAAACATAGGTTTTGATGCTATTATTTTTATGCTGGAAACAAGGAGAGGGAGAGAAGAATCTTGAGAGGTTATGTGTAGGACAGAATGAAAGAAGAAAAGAGAAGTAAATGTCAGTTAAAACCCTAACCAGATATTGCCAGGGAGTAGAAACCTTGTTTAGAAAGATCGCTACACAGGGGAAGCCAAGGAGAGAAGGATAATATACTAGGCTACAGAAAACTAAATATTAATGATAATCAGATTAATACTAATAGTGTATTGAGAGGAGCATAAAGGATTTAAAGCAAAAGAAAAAACTGTGGAAGAGAGGGGGAGAGCAGAGAGAGAGAAGGTGTATGAAGGGATGAGAGAAAGCAGGAGAGGTGAGAGAATAGTTAAGAGAGAAGAGTCGTTTCCAACTGTCAAACTGACTGTCCCAGAAAGAAAGTTAAACAGGCTTAAGAAGCGGCCTTTGGTATGGGATCTACTACTAAACAGCTTAGGCTACTAAAGCGGGAAACTAGTACAAATAGCTATATATGGATATACATATATAAAAAGTCCAAACCTAATTACATTCAGCAAAATTCTGATAGATGAGCAAAGAAGAGAGAAAAATGGAAAAATATGTGCATATGTAAAAACAAACAAACCAAACATGCAGTCCCTGAGCAGCCTGTCACTGCTGCTGCCTTCCGGTTGCCATATTCAGGAGCCTGTCTGTGCTCAGGGACTGTGGACCGGGCTTGGAGCCACTCTCTTTGGTGTCTCAGCCTTTGGGTCCCAGGCCATGCGCTGCCATAGACTCCATGACGAGTTCTTCCCCTTTCTTCTCTCAGTCACTGGCCCCCCACTAGGGTGGGGTTCTCTCGATTCTGGAGCAATTTTCCCAATCTCCCCCCAGCCCGTGAGCTCAGCAGCATCTGAGGATCCTGAGTGAGACAGCTCTACTCTGGTTCCGGTGTTTTTACTCCACCCCCAATGCTCACGCACGCCAGCTGTCTTGGTTCTTCGGATTTCTCCCAGGCTTGTGGCTCCCACAATGCACAGTGCTGAGGGAGGTATGGAGGGAGAGGACAAAAGCCAAGCCAGGACCATCCCTCATCACTCCCAGCATCCGCTGCTTCTGCCTTTGCCTCCTCGTTCCCTGAGTTTCTCTCGGGGTCACAGCCGCCTCAGGGCTGAGTGCCATGGAGATGGAAGCCTGAGCCTGGGCTCTTCTTGGTGGCGATCGCGACTTCTAGCTCCGACCCAGTCCTCCCTAGTTCTCTGTGGTTCAAGTTTCCCAGAGCCCCCGGTATAAAGGGAGCCTCCCTCATGGGAACATCTCAGTCTCTGGTCCTGCCCTGTGTTGTTGTGGTGGCTGGGATGAGTGCTAAGCTGGCTTCCGCCTCCAGGGGTGTTTCACAGAATGACACAGTCTCTAGATGCGCACTGTGAGCAGTGCCAAGGCAAGGTGCTGCCTCCATTCTTAGGCTTTCACCCGTTTGCTTTCCTCTTCAGGTTATAGTTCCCTGGGGGCTTTGCTACCTCCTCGTGCAGCCACGCAACCTCTCACCTGGGTGAATGCTTTCGATGCAGTGAGTGTGCAGCTTCCTCTAGACCACCGTGATGGAATCTTGGCCCCAACTTCCCAGGCTCAAATGCCTCTGGCACTTTCGCCAGGGAGGTGTCCCGCGGGGCACTGGTGTCATCTGTGTCCTGTAAGTCGTGTCCACCAGCTTCTCTTCCAGGTGCAGGGGTTTGAGTGTGGACTCAATGTCAGGGGCAAGACTTGCTCCGGGAGGTTTATGGAAACTGGGGCTCAGGGAAGGGACAGCCAGTCTAGCTGCCTACCTTGCTGCTCAGACCCCAGGACGGGGGCAGCATTGCCAGCATCATTTGCAAAGTTGGCCACCTCCCTTGTGTTTCCGCCCCTGGATATGTGGATTTTCATCACCCTGGACTACAGGATGCACCTGGAACTGCACGCACGAGGAGCTCAGACAAACCTTCGCAGTGGATGCTGATGCCCTTGCTCAAAGCCCCGCAGTGGCTCCCTATTACCTTGTAGGTAGAACCCTTAGCAGAAAAGCCTGGCTCTCTTGAATCCCTCTCACACAATCCTCCTCTTCCCAAGGTTTCTTTTTTTTTGGTACCGGGGATCGAACTCAGGTCCTTGCGCTTGTGCAGCAGGTGGTGAAACCACTGAGCTAAATCCCTGGCCCTTCCCGAGGTTTCTTAAAGCTCCCCTGGCCCCACTCAGAGAATTGGATAAAACTCTGGATGCTTGCCCAGAAAAAAACATGTAAAGGAACAGTTTTGAAAACTATTTTGGGGGTCTCATGGTCCCTTCCTTGTGGGTCCTGGGCTCCCCCTCCTCTGACTCCTATCACAACCCTGTCCACAGCCCTCCACCTCGAGAGATCTCTCACCTGAACCAGCAGGAAGCCTGGCCTCACCTTCCAGCCCTGCTCCTGGATTCTTCCCACCTGCAGTGCCTCCCATCCTATCCAGGGGGTTCCTTCCCACCCACAGGATTGTTTTCCCCCTTACCCACCCTGCACCTTAATATCTGTCTCACCTAAGAGGTTTTAGTGCCCTCACTGGGTTGTCAATCCTTGGAGGGGACAGTAAGGACCCCCTGCCCCCTGCCAGATGGTGTCTTTCATGGGTCAGGCCTTCAGTTCTTCCAACAGTGCTGGCTGCCTCCATTTTGCAGATGAGGAAACTGAGAGTGGTTAAGCAACTTGCCCAATGTCAAGCTGGCAAGGAAATGGTCACTCAAAGCAGGTCTTACATATGACTTAGGGTCAGCAGCTGGATGAAGGAGTGTCGGTCCCCCACCCAACATCTAGTCCAGCGGGGACACCTTGCCTCAAGGGCAGTTCTACTTTGAGCTTTTGACAAGCAGCATGGTTCTTTCCCTAAGCTTATAGCTTGGAATATCAGGCCAACTTATCCCTCATTGCCAAAACGTTGTTCTGCGCCAGCAGCCTGTGGGGTGTGTTACCTTAATGACAGGCAGCAGGGCCTGTGTCCAGCTCTGCTCCTCAGGTGCTCTGGAGGGTCCAACTGCCTTCCTCAGATAAGGTCCGTGGGTCTCACATGAGTTCAGGATGTACAATGCGCAGGCCAAGGCATAGCTGCCCCAGTTAGAAACACCTAGGACAACAACAACAACAAAAGAATCTGTCCCAGAGCATTAATGGTCCGGTGCTCCAGCCACTTGCTTCAGGCAGCAGAACTCATCTGGAAGCATGGTCCCAGACCAGAGGCACCAGGGTCACCTGAGGACTTGTTATGATGACAAATTTGTGCCCCCACCCCGGCCCGACCTGCAGAATCAGAAACTCAGCAGGGCAGGAGGGAAGCAAGTCCGGTTTAATGAGCCTTCCAGCTGAGTCTGATGCAAGTTAACAGTTGAAAACTGTTGCTCGAAGCCATTTGGTTTATATACTGTTAACTGTCTTTATCATTGTCCTGTAGCTGAGACAAAATACCCGACACCCGCAACTTAAAGGAGGAGAGGTTGGTTTAGGCTCAGGTTCAGTGGATTCAGGTCATGGTTGGGCCCCTCCAAGGCAGAACGATAAGGCAGAGGAAAGCTGTTCACTGAATGGGAGTCCAGACGTGGAGAGAGAAGGGAGGAGCCACGGACAAGAATGCACCCTCCAGGCCTCGTCCCTCCGAGTGCCCATCTCCTAGCAGCACTCTGAGCTACTGACCTCCTCAGAGGATGAATCTTCTGAGGACTATAGCGCCCCCATGATCCAGCTGTCTTCCAAGGAGATGAGATGTGGGGGGAATTTTAGATCTAAACCATACCAACCATGAGAGAAGAAGACTCAGGCACTAACCCTCCACATAAAAAACCCTCCCAGTGGCTGCAGGGACACAGGCTATAGGGAAGCCCGTCCTCCCATCCTGCTTTGTGTGCTTGGGGCTCACAGCTAAGTCAGCCTCCGACTTCCCTTTCTGTTCAGTCAGCCAGCCCCTAATACCTCATCCCCCAGCCTGGGGAATCGTCTCCTCTCTGAAACTCTCTCCACTCCACTGAAGAAGGATGGACCAGGGGCCTGCTAAGTTCTGGGTGCTGGGGCATCAAAAGAGAGAGGAGTGCCCAAGGGGGTCAGGCACACAGTAGCCAGGGGAGGGGATCTATGAGCTGTTCAGAGGATCATGGGAGCCCTGAGGAGGGCCTTCGGATTCTGACTGGTTCAGCAAAGATTTCAGAAAAGGGGTCATTTATCATAGGCCTGGTAGGCTGGGTGCACTTCTGCTGGAGGAGAGGCTGGGGTGGTGCTTCAGGAAAGCAATCAATACAAACAAAACCTAGTGAGCACAAAGGCGCGTGACACAAGCATAAAAGGCATACAGCAAACTAAAGTGGAGACCGAGAGACAATCACGATACTGTATTTCACAGATTCTAAGACACCTTTTGGTTACATTTACATCCTGAATTAGGAAGTCCGTCCTATTTTACACTTGTCGTTGGCTATGTTTTCCTTCATTTATTTATTTATGCTATTGGGAACTGGATCCAGGCCCCTTGCACTGATTAGACGTTTTTTCTTTTTTAATTTGAGCCAGAGTCTTGCTAAATCATTAAGCTATCCAGGCTGGGTTCAAACTTGGGATCCTCCTGCTTCAGCATACCAGAGTGTGCATACCATGCTCTGCCTGTGTTTTCCTTTTTTAGTGCTTCCTAAGATAATGGTAATTCTTGTCACCAATGGTGTTTCACATTTAATGGAAGAGAGTAACACTGTCCATTGGAAACAGCATCAGATTCCGTAGGCTCAGGACTCTGTCCCACTTTGGATGCCAATCACAAACCCTGGGTTCACCAGTTATCAACTGAGGGCCCCATGACCGGCTCCCTGGATTCTATCCATTTCTCCAGAGGCTCACAGAACTCTGGGACACTCATACACAGCCCAGAGGCTCAACTGATCATCAGCACCAGAGAATCTGTTAATTAGAAAAATAAATGAATACTGGAGTACAGAAATATTAGAAACCTTGGTGAAACGGATGGTGTTCAAGACAGGAGAGTTGGCTAAAAGTAATTCTTAGGCACTTCCACCCTTGCAGAATTGAGATTTTAAAAAGCCAGCCTGGGCAACTTAGCAAGTCCCTGTCTCAAAATAAAAGGGCTGGGGGTGTAGTTCAGTAGTAGTGTGCTTGCCTAGCATGTGTGAAGCCTCAGGTTCAAGCCCAGCACCATATATATATATATATATGGTGGTCAGTACCCTTTGAGGTATTCTATACCCACAAGCCACTGTTGGAGCCTATGGGCACAATGTGTATACCTATAGCTCCAATCCCAGCTACTTGGGAGTTTGAGACAGAATTGCTTGAGCCCAGGAGTTTGAGACCAGCCTAGGCAACATAGTGAGAGCTGTCTCAATAACATTTCATGCAAGGTATGTGTCCCAGTGCCTCAAGGACAGAAGACCGGTCCTCTTGATCCTACTAAACAGATGAATTACTGTGTCTTAGCCACTTTCGTGTTGCTGAGACACAATACCTGACACCTGCAACTTAAAGGAGGAGACATGTATTTTGGCTCACGGTTTCAGAGGTTTCTGTTTATGCATGGTCAGCTGGCTCCAAGGCAGAGATGGCATGGTGGAAAGGCCTGGTAGAGGACAGCTGCTCATGTCAAGGCAGTCAAGAAGCAGAGAGAAGGGAGGATCAGGAGACAAGAATGTACCCTTCTAGGTCACTCCCCAGTGACCCCCCTCTCTGACCAGGCCCCACCTTCTAACAGCACATTCAGCTACAGCACTCCCATAATCGAATCACCTTCCAAAAAAGTTCTGCCTCTGAGCACACGAGAATTTTGCGAGTCATTCTTGATCTAAACTATAACATAGTATTCGAGTTTGGTTCTGTACAGGCTGGCTTCCACTGCAGGATGGTGGAGTGGGGAACCAGAGCTGACCCATCTCAAACATGAGAGACCAGACTTAGCCAAAAGAATCAGGTAATTGGGCCAGAGATTTAGCTCAGTGGTTCCGATGCCTGCCTTGCAAGCACAAGGTCCTGAGTTCGATCCCCGGTACCAAAAAAAAAAAAAAAAGAATCAGGTTGGGGCTGGGGATTTAGCCCAGGGGTTTCGCTGCCTGCTGTGCAAGGACCCAAGTTCGATCCCCGGTACCTCCCCCCCCCCAAAAAAGAATCAGGTAATTGACCAATACCTTCCTTTCACACCCTGATGATTTTTCTCAGAACAGTTTTCCAGACTGATGCCCGCTCATCAAATGACAGAAAATAATACCACTTGGAAGTGTTCATGGGTCTGCTAAGGGGGAAGTCTGAAGCCATGGCCAGCCACCTCCACCTGCCTTCTCACATCTCGGGGTACCACAGTAAAGATGGAGTCCATTCAGTGGGGTGGGGGCAGGGTATCCTCGCAGCTCCTTCAGACCCCCACTGCTGATGGCCCCTCTGGACTCTGTGATCCTCTACCCTGGGAATCCCCCTCAAAGGCCTTGGGTCCTCTGCCTGCCAGCCCAGAGTAACAGGAAGCTCGGAGTCAGCCAAGCCACCACTCTGGGAGGGCCACACCCATGGTCTGTTCTGGGAAAGGCCCAGCCATCTGCAGAAACTTTCTAATCATTGTCTCCTCAAAACCTCAAAAGCCAAAGGGGACTAATGTGTCTGGGAAACACTCCAAAGTGCTTGGGTGGAGAGAAAAGGCGCAGGGGACAGACAGGCCTTAATTGCCCTGACAGGCCTGAGACCTGCCCCAGAGGGGGAAAGTTGGTTCTTTTAGAAATTCATAAAGGCGGCGGCATAACTCCTGGGGTCTGGACTCTGCTCCTAGTTCTACCAGCAAGTATAATCATCTAGGCAACCTCAAAATATGTCTCTGGTTCCCAGTTTTGGACAGTGTACTGCTCTTCTATCTGACCCCCAACCCTCATCGCTTTTTTCCTTCTGGTGTTACAGAGGGTTGAACCCAGGACCTTTGCACTATGCTACATCTCTGGTCTTTTAATTTTTTTTAATTTTGAAAGAGGATCCTGCTAAGTTGCCCAGGCTGGCCTCAAACTTGCAATCCTCCTGCCTCAGCCTCCTGAGTAGCTGGGAATACAAGTGTGTGCCATCATGCCCGGCTGCTCGTAGGTTTTTTTTTTAAAGGTGTGAATAACACAATTGATATAAAACTTCTCTCAAAACTATAAAGTTTTGCATAGATACTACCACATTATTATACTGCTCACAATAATCCTACAGGAATCATATATTTGATATACTTAAAAATTAGGGTGTTTCAAAAAAATGAGACAAATTTCATCCTATATGATCCAAATAATATGCTGTCTCAATTTTATTCTTGTTACTGTTTCATCATTTGTCTTACTACCTTAGATTCCAGCAACTAGAATATGCTCTGTAAGTGTCACTTCCCCTTCTTGCTTCGGAAACGTCACTTTCGAAATGGCTGTGTCATTAATGTCTAGACTGCCTAATAAAGAACATCTTTGGTGTGGAAGACAATAGTCCCCATGCAGCTCTCTCCTGCTCTCTCTCACAGCTAATAGGAAGACATTTAGTGCTGACACGTTGGTGTGCACTTCTTGGAGGATCCCGCTTACCCGTTGATGAGATTCCAGGAATTTTCTGTGCAGCGAGGAAAAGGTCGTCAACGTGGTCCACTGAGTGCTTCACGTTCCTCTTCCTGGCGTTGTAGTAATTGCCATCGGCAGCCCTTCCGGCACACGCTGTGGCCACCCCGTGGTCAAATCTGCCTGGAAGCAAGGGCTCTAGGTCCTTATGGCAAGTGTGGCTGCTTTGGTGTCGCCTTTGTGAGTCTGTGTGAAGGACCCTTGGTTCTTTCTTGGACCTCTTTCTCCCCAGGAACTGGACTGACTACCTGCTCTGTACCAGCCCTTCCATGGGGGAGCGGGCATTGGATCACCTTAAGACACAGCACTGGGTCTTTAGCAACGTCTTCACTAGAGTCCGGACCAAGGAGAGCAGGAAGTCAAAGCTCAGGGTGACTGGGGTGCCCCACCCAGGGGCCCCTCATCTGGCAGTGAGCAGCGGGCAGCTCCGGATGTGAGGAGGGTTGGCTGCTGTTGCCCCACTGCTACCCTCTACCGGGAACTTGTTCACTTTACAGGCATGAGAGAAGGATTTGAAACAGAGGATGGATGAACCAATGGAAGAACGAACTACGCTAGGGAGAAAGAGCTACAGAAACAAGGGACCCAGATAGTGTAGTGGTCAGAATGGGACTGGGAACCCCTGTGGTCCGATTCCCCTTTCTAGGTCTGGGGCACTCGTCTTGGGCAAGGTGCCTAACCTCTCCAGCCTTCCTTTTCTGCATTTGCACTGCCACACTCAACAGCACTGACCTCAGTCAGCATCGGGTTAAATGAGAAAATACACAAGAGGTGCCTGTCATGGGGCCACTGCCTACTTAGGATTCAGTCAGTGTTAACGGTGGTTATTGTTGGTATTATTATTGCCAGGGATATTGTTTGATCATCCTTATTGAACTTGCAACTTGGGCCAGGGATTTAGCTCAGTGGTTCCGCCGCCTGCCTCGCAAGCACAAGGACCCGAGTTTGATCCCCAGTACCAAAAAAAAAGACTATGCAACTTATGCTTCTGCATGTCTCTAACTCCCTTAACAATGGAGTTCTTCAGAATCTTAACCATGCTATGCACAAATTTTTTTTTTTTTTTTTTTTTTTTGGTACCGGGGATCGAACGTGGGACTTTACGCTTTTGAGGCAGGTGGCAGAATCACTGAGCTAAATCCCCGGCCCTTAACTCTGCTATGGAAAACAGTATGGCTGTTCCTCAAAAAATTTAAAAAATAGAATTACCATTTGGTCCAGCAATTCCACTTCTGGGTATATACCCCCCAAAATTGAAATCAGGGACTTGAAGACATATTTGCACCCCCACATTCCTAGAAGCATTATTCACAATAGGCAACCTATGTGTCCAATGATGAAGGAATAGATAAATATATACTGGAATATTATACAGTTTGGAAAAGGCACAGAATTCTAACATATGCTACAACAAGGATGAATCTTGAAAACATTATGCTAAGGGACATAAGCTTGTCACAAGAAGACAATACTGCATGACTCTACTCATATGAGGGACCTAAAAGAGTCAAAGTCATAGAGACAGGAAGTTGAGTGGTAGTTGCTTGGGGCTGGTAGGAGTTGGGGACTGGGGAGTTGGTGTATAATGCGGACAGAGCTTCAGTTTGAGGCAATGGAAAAAGTTCTGGAGACAGGCGGTGGTGATGATCACAAAGCATTATAAAGGTGTCTAACACCACTGAACCATACACTGAAAAGTGGTTGAAAATGAGGCTAGTATGTAGATCGGTTGTAGAGTGCTGTATGCTTACAACATGCAAAGTCCCGCGCTCAAGCTCCATCACCCAAAGAAAAAAAGTTAAAATGGCAATAAACTTGAGGTTAGGTGTATTTCACATCAATGCAAAAAAATCTGAACTGTGAATTTTTTTTTTTTCTGGTAATTTTTTAAAAACACAAAGTCCCCGCGACTGTCCTTGTCCTTTGGTTGTGCTGAAACAGGAAATCACCTATGCCTTGAGGTGGGGCCACCAAGTAGGTCTTCAAATGCAGCCCCGAGGCTCCCTGGAGCTGGTGGGAAGTAGAATTAGCAGGAGGGAGGAGTTTGGACCCTGAACGTCCCCTCGACCAACGTCGGTCATCAGTGGTGCTGAAAAGGCCATTAGAACAGGAGCTGCCGAGGACAGCAGCGCGTCTTCGGTCACGGAGGGGGAGCTCTTCCTGGATGTGACCCCGAGAGAAGGCAGCTGTGGGTGTCATGGAGGGGGACTGGCGTTTCAGCACCCAGGGATCCACTTAGCTTGGTGCACAGTGTTCATGCCTGGGAAGTGCTGGCCCATCTTCACACACGCACGGCTCCGGCCCCCCCGCCATGAACAGAGCAACATCAGCAGCACCTGCCATCTGGGTCCCACCAGGAGGACTTTTGACTTTCCCCTGGGCTCCTGCCCGGGCTTTGTCTGCACACCCACCAGCAGGGGGTACAGATAGTCCCCGTTTAACGACCTACCTGTTTAATGGCTTTTGGACTTTCGACCTGCTGCTCAGACTTAAGACCCGCCTTTTTTTCTTGTACTGTTCTGTACATCTTGTTTATAGAGCCTCAATGTCTTTTTTTTTTTTTTTTGCTACAGTATACCTTGTTTATACAGTACTGTAATTCTTGCAGATTGTATCATACCGTACAGTACTGCAGCTTTATGTCCTGTTGTTCTGTTACACATTTCAGTACTTCATGTAAGTGTTATGCAAATAAAAGCAAATTCATCAAGCTGGAGTTTCCTTTGGACTTTTCTTTGTCCTGACTATTATAACATACGCACAATATACAAGTTCTCATTTAGTGACCAATTCATTTAATGGCCCAATGGCAGGAGTGGAACTTGGTCGTTAAATGAGGAATGTCTACGTAAACCCACCTGAGAGCACCTGTAGCAGCTGTAAGCAGCGTATCAGATCCTCAGCCACACTTCCCTTGGTGACTCAGGATCCTGGATTCTGCTGCAAGCTGTGATATGGCCATGCCCTCAAGGCCTATTAATACAGTGTTTTAAAATTCTAAGTGGATATTTGTTAGCGAGTTACAAAATAAATTTTTTGGGTCTGATCAGTACCTTTTGAAAAGTGCAATAGAACAGACTAAAACAGAGAGCATCAGAATACATTGCACATAGAATCATGGTAAGTCTTGCAATACTGCAAGAGTCAAAATTGGTTTTTGAAACATCTATTTGAGTTGTGTGTGTGTGCTATCTATCCTGATTTGCAACACAAAATGTGTTTCTATGGATTATTATCAAAAATGTTTGCAAAACACAGTGTTACAAACTGTAAGATCTGAAACATCTCTATATGTAATAAACAGGTATTTTTTTTAAAGACTTGACTATGCCACACAGTAAGAAACACGCTCACAGTTTCATAAGAGAGTACTTCTTATCACTATGCAAGTATAAAACATGATTTCCATTTCATTTTCCAAAGGTGCTGGTTACCCCAGCTGAAATGATTTTACTACTCTCTGATGAGTCATGAAACAAATTTGGAAAGACTGCTGGCCTTTTTCGTCTTTAAAAGTAATTGTCATATCTCCTCCCTCTGTGGAGAAGATTGGGTATCTCTCTCCCCACTGGCTAGGACCTGCTATTTCTGGGGGTGCTCCGTGAAGCCCCCTGCACTCTGTGAGACCTGACCCCTGCCTCATGTGTCAGTGTGGTCCATCAGAACCCGTTTCCTGGGCTCATGGCTTCGTAAAGGCCTGGGGTCTGGAGAAACTTTGTTGGTGAAGTTAACAGCACCTGGGCTTCCCTACCATCATCATTAACCTGGGATGAGACATAACGTGCCGGGGTGACTTGGGGTCCCCACCTTTGCACGGAAAGGCCTGAGCATCTTCCACTGACCCACCTTGGTCAGTTAATACTGGGATCTTACCACTTGGTAAGTTAATACTGGCATCTTCAGAACACCCTGAAAATAGAGGCAAAGGGTGGACACTTTAGCTCTGGTGTTTTATTTTGGAAATTTACATTTGCTTCTCAAAAGCTTCTTTGGATTGCATTGTGAGAGTTACCGAACAACACCTCTGAGTCGGGTACTTTGTGAAGTAAGCCAGGACTGACAGAGGACAATAATTTTACTTTTGGTGCTGAGTAAACTCTAGGGCTGGGCTGGGCTGGGGGGTGGAACTGGGCCGGTGTGGACAAGCGGAGACGCTGTGGGGAAGAAGCTCACAACACCAGGTGAACCAAAGGCCTGTTCCGCCCCAGTGCTATGGGGAGAGCTGGGTACACGTTTGTGTCCCCACAGTGAATGTGCGCCAGGCTTCTGCTAGGTGTCTGACACGCATACTCCAGTCTTCCCAACATTTCTGGTTAAGAAAAGTATTATGGGTCTGGGGATTTAGCTCAGTGGTTTCGCTGCTTGCTGCGCAAGCGCAAGGACCCGAGTTCGATCCCCAGCACCAAAAAAAAAAAAAAGTATTATGATTCCCATTTTACAAAAGAGGAAAACAAGGTTGAGAGACACTGAATAACACGGGCAAGGTCAAATATTTATGTCAGTATCATCACTCTGGCTTTCTCCCTAAGTTCTCACCTGATCCCTGCCCCACTGCACACCTTCGAGAGGTTCAAGAACATCCAAAGGAAGCCCAGGGACAGCCTTGGGCCGGCTACTTACTGGGAATGATTTCCAAAGTGAATCTGGCTCTTCCAAATGGCACCTTTTTAGTTTTTAATTTTTATTAGCACGTTTGCAGTACGTCACGTTTACATTTGAGTGAGGGATTGGCACGTGTACAGAACACAGCTTAATCCCTTCCCCCCATCTCTTGATCCCCTTCCCAGTTGAGAAAGATCCATCTCCCCGCTTCCTATTATTTACCTCTTATTTTATTCTTTATAATTTCAGTGTCTCATATAAGAGAAACCATGCAATATATAACCTCACGTGTCTGATTTATTTCACTTAGCATTATAGTCTCAAGGTGCACCTATTTTCCTACAAAATGACTCAAGTTTATCTTTTGTTATGGCAGAGTAGTACTCCATTGTGTGTAAATACATTTTCTTTATCCATTTGTTGATGGACATATAGGCTACTTCCAAAATTTAGCTGTTATGGCCTCCACGCTGCCCCGGTTCCCGGGATGGGAAGATAGCCAGGTGCAGGCTATCAAGCGGGGCTCCATATTCTCCCCAGGCCTGGAGGAGCCCTGCGTCCCCGGCAAGGAGCCTGTCAAGTACGGGCAACTGGTGGTGCTGGGGCACAATGGTGCTTTACCTAATGGACACAGAGGACGCAGGAAAAGCCGTTTTGCCCTCTATAAGTGTCCCAAGGTGAATGGCGTCAAGCCCAGCTCGGTCCACATGCTATCCACACCCCAGGCATCCAAGGTAAGAAGTCTTGGCTGGGGATTTAGCTCAGTGGTTCGGCTGCCTGCCTTGCAAGCGCAAGGTTCCGAGTTTGATCCCCTCCCCCACAAAAAAAAAGTATTGATGGAACTTCAGATACTGTAGGACCGACAGAGAGAGAGGGTGAGAGAGAGAGAGAGAGAGAGAGAGAACATCATCTTGGAAGTCAAGACAAGGCAGAGACATTATCACCCTGACAGGCAAGTTTCACAACCAAGAATTATACAAATTAATGAAGTATTTTTTGTTTAAAAATTTCAGGAAAATGCCATTGGGCCTATGTAGTATATTACAAAATTGGCTTTCACACTCTTCTTGGAAGACCCCTTTCATATTCTTAAAACCAATTTAGACTTCTATTCCCCAAAAACTTTGGGGTTAGTAGGTCACAAAAGGTTTGGTCAGATTCAAATTATTTTTGAGAAGACAAGAATTCTAACTCTCACTTCTCTAGGCGCAGAGATGATGTACAGTTACAGTATTTCACCATACTTTCTTGGTATTGTTTGAACAGAGTTGCATAGTAATAAATAAGTACAAATTTCGGAACAAATTTACTACAGGAACTCTGTCAGATTTATTTGAAAATGATTAATTACATTCATGTTATTTTCATTATTTTTACCAAAGAGAAAAATCCATGAACTATTTGATGAATTTTTGGGCTTCACTACAATAAAAATGAATTTGGACAAAGATGTCCCAGCAAAATCTACCTGTTCAATGTTTTGTCCAAAGAGAATACATAAATTTCTTCATGTATTTATTGGGCTAAAATGACACCTCTTCTAATGATAAAATAATATGTAGTATTATAGAATATATGGAAATATACCAAAATTCCAAAATAAAACAGAATTAATTTGGTTTTCATCAACTAATCAATCTTCCAGGAACATGGGGTAGAATCCTGGCTTATTCACTGGCCCAGGACAGAGTCTTCATGCAGAGCTGAAGAGAGCAGGGGGATGATGGTCCCAGTGGGGTCCCACTGGGGTTCCACTGGTTCTTCAGGGATTCCATCTGCTCTGTGGCCAACAAGAGGAGCAAGCCTTAGAAGAGATTCAGTCACCTCCATAGTCTTCGTCATCGGCTCTTCACACCCCTCCCAGAAAGCCAAGCCAGGTAAGCTCATGTCTATGTTGTCACCGTCTATGTCAAAGCTACAAGCTCACATTATCAATGAAGGTTCAAGGCAGCAGCCCCACCCCCAGGTGCCAAGCAAAGGCTGCTCTTTCCCACTTCCTTGAAGCTGGATCAAAGACATAGGACACCAGTGAGAAGCAGTATCACAGAGCCAGACAGGGCAGGGAATATGACACATCTGGAGGGGCCACATTTACTGGAGACCCCTGAAACATTACCAGAAACCTCTGCAGTAGGCTCCAGTCTCCTGCTCAGTGTATGATGCAAACCTGAGGAAAAAACTAAAAGAACCAAGAGAGACAGAAAGCAGAGAGCCAGGATGGCCAATTCTGCTTTAGCAAAAGACACTGGTCTATCCAGCCACTGATTTTTATTATTAATCCATTGGGGGTAAAGGCAAGCTATGTGCAAGGGAAGGACTACATGAGAAGATGTGCCATCATGTGGTTTCTATAGAAATTAATGTAAGCAAGGCTCATAAAGGACAAGACAAAGCATTCTTGAATTAGGAACAGAATAGACAAAATATATGGTTGTGATTAGAACATTGTCCTTTTAGTAAGAAGGTTTTAGTTGTGGGAACGGAATTCGGGTGGGAGTTACTCTGACCTCGGCACATAGGTTCCAGCTGGACCCACTTCTATAAATGAGCCAATTGTGGGGTTAGCTCTTCACAGCCTGCACTGTTTACAGCCTGCTTTGGGCATAATCAATATCGCAGGCCCTAGCACACACGCCTGACAAAGGACACATGAGACCCTTGAATCTGGGCTCAACTGTCGCCTCCTCCGTGAGGTCTTCCCTCACTCTCCTGTCCACAGTAGCAGCCCCCTGCCCACCCCCTCTGTCTCCATTCCCCTCCTCCTGCTCCATCTCTCTGCCAACATCATTGCTTCCTAACACAAGACACACATCTTATGTAGCTTATTCCCCTTCTCACTGTACAGTGCGTGCTCTGTGGGGGCAGGATTGTCGGTTTTGCTCACAGATAGACCTCAAGAGCCTAAAACCATGCCCAGCACACAGTAGGTGCTCAGTCCACATCTGTGGAATGAGAGGGCATCATTCACAGACACAGAATTTTCAAAAGTTCCAAATGGTTGAAGCCCTTTTGAAATGCTAGAAGCACAAAATACCTCTTTGAAGAATGCATTGTGAAGGACACAGAGAGACAGGTGGTGGGAAGCAGCTAGACTTACCAGGCTCCAGCTTGTGCCTGAGTGGCCCTTCCTGCAGGATGGAGGCGAGAGGAGGAGCAGCCCAAGGCCATCTTGTCCACTGATGGCGCTTTTGGAACCCCATGTCTCCCACACCTGCAGCCCTGGTGACTCCTGGGGGCGCCAGCTACATCCCTGCCCATCTGGACCAGGCCAGACCCCTCTATACTCCACTACCCACCCCATCTCTGGTGGCCTGGGGCCGCCCTGCTCCCATACTCAGTGGCCACTCATCCCACAGGGAGGACAGCTGGTGCTTTTCAGTTTTCAGGTCAAATTCCAGCGCGGCATTCTTGCCTGCATAAATCACCTGGCTCTCTTGGAGCCTCAGTCTTCTCCTCCATAAAATGGAAATAATGCTGCTTACAACAAAGTGTTTCTCTGAGCTCTTAGGAAAACAAGCCATGTCAAGGACACAGCCCAGTGCCAGGTGGCAGAGGCGCCACACACACTGACTCCCTCTACCCTCTGCTACAGAGGCCTGTTTGGGGGAAATGGGCTGAGCCTGAGTCACTACTCACCTTGCTTGACAGCATCCTCAACAAGTTTCCTGTGCAAGGTCAAGGCCCTCTGGTCAACCACCTTAGAGACCTCCTTCCCCAGGCCCTGCAGGAAGGTGGCCAGAGCAATGGCTCCTGGGGGACCGTCTGTCTCTTCCAGGAGCTCAAGATTGAAATTTGTGGGCAACCCGGTGGTGATCAGCACGGAGTGGGCATGGGACAGCAACAGAGGCCTTCAGCAGCTCATCTTTGTGGAACAGGGCCTGATCCCTCGGTTGCCTAAAATTACAAAACAAAGTGAAGTATTAAAGGAATTGTGTTTAAAATAGAAACTTACGCTGAGTGGTTTGGGTTTTTTGATTGTTGGCTTTGTTTTTCCAAGAAGTGGATTGGAGGGATGTGGCAGGGACTGAGAATTGTTCACCAGAATGCTTTCTTGTCCCCCAACCCCGGTAGGGAAGGGTTACTGTAGTGGAAGTGACGGTGTCACCTCTGCCCTCACCCTACACTTTGGTGCATTTCTCCAAGCTTTTTCCTTTCTTTTTTTGGTACCGGGGATCGAACTTGGGACCTTGCGCTTGAGAGGCAGGTGGTGGAACCACTGAGCTAAATCCCCGGTCCTCTTTTTCCCTTTTCTTGGGTCTGGAAAGTGGATCCCCAGAGCCCCCATGGAGTCACCTGGTACAATGGCAGAGCTGTGGGTCCCCGAGTTGGTGGAGCCGAACTCCTTCCTGCTGGTCCAGGACCCTGCCTGGATGACCTGCCCTGGGCTGTGCCATGAGGAGCATATACTTCGTTTTATTTAAGCAAAGCATCTTGGGGTTGTTTGTCAAGGAAGCTTGGAAAACCCTAACTAATACAGGAGTACACGAGGAGGAAGGGACTCGGCACTGTATTCATGGGGGATTGCTTCCCTGACAGGAGACCCTGAGAAGAGGACGTGGGTACAAGTATTTCAGTGGGAGGCGATCCCGACAAAGATGAGAAAGAGAAAGAAAGGCCACTAAAGGATTGAGTGGACAAGTGAACTCCCAAGGCAAATGAGACTCAATTTTGCTTGAGATCCTCTAAGAAACCATGGGGTACATGCCTCAGAATTGTCCTAGCAGAGGGCAGGGGGACTGTGCATTTACCACAGGTCTCTGCCCCCTACCAGGGGAAGGTTGCCCACTGGGGTGCTGCCCCCTCCCTGGGCTGTGCCTGCTGTGGTGGTGAAGGCCTTGGGGGAGGGAGACCGTCCTCCCCACCCCCAGTCAGCCACCGCCTCCGCCTGGCGGAGAAGCAGAGACCAAGCCTAAGGTGGGAAGCTGTCCGGCTGGGGATCACCCACGGCAGCTGCCGGCCAAACCCAGGCAGGCCCAGGGCACATGGGCAGGGCAGCGGCAGCAGGTGTTAGAGATGTCCACCAGAGGCTGCCAAGCTGGGCCCAGCTGGGCGGCACCGCCTCGTGACCTTTGTCATGTCCCCTTCACACTTCTGTCTCCACTCAGGTCACCCGCAGCACAACTTAGGAGTTGTGGCTGTGGCTGAAATCAGAGGTGGGCACCGGGACACGGAGAAGCATTGGCTTGCAGTGGAGGTGCATGCAGAGCGTGAAGGATGTAGGGGTCTGATTAGGCACGAACAGCTCCAGATTTAGAATCTGGAAGCTTAATTCCAGCACAAGCACTGGCACATCATGGCTGCGTGTCCTTGGCCGCATCCCCTGACCTCTCTGAGCCTTGGTTTCCCTAAGTGGAAAATGGGGTGGTCCAGGTGTAGGAAGGCTGTGGGGACCTGGCCTCTCATCTCCTGCTGGTGGAGTGCGAGCTGGACCAGTTCTGCCTGGAGGGTGATTTCATCTTAGATCTGTACATTTCTCGGGAGCCAGCAACTCTTCTAGTATGCAGCATCCCTAATAAAGCAATCACGAGTATGTACACAGATTTAGTGATAAGGATGCTCGCCGTGACACTGTTCATGTCAAGTAATAGGATATTAATCATATGATGGATCGCTTGTATAAAGGAACTCTGCAAACATTAAAAAGGATGTAGAAGGCTGTGACATGGAAAGATGTTCACGATATGTTAAAAATTAAAAGCAAAGCAAGTACTAAAATTGCATGACAGTAAGATACTCGTATATCTACACATGCATGCAGAGGTTTGAGATGGAAGGAAAAGACTTTAAAGGCAAGCACCAAACATTATTGGTTAATTGCAGAGGGATTCTGGTGATTTTTATTGCCTCTTTCCTTTCATTTATTTTCTGATGCTTCTATAATGAACATGAAGAACTGTTGATAAGATGGGAGAGAAATAACAATATTTTTTCAAAATTGGGATGTAATCTATTTCATAAGATGTGAAGAGCACCAATGGAGAGATGGGAGAATTTTGTCAACTGAAAGCCATGTATACATTTATGATTTCTTTTTTGGTACTGGGAATCAAATTTGGGTCCTTGCACTTGCGCAGCAGGCAGAGAAACCACTGAGCTAAATCCCTGGCCCTTACATTTATGATTTTATAATAGGTGGCAAGATCATTACTATAAACCACATATATATGATATATATATATATATATATATATATATATTTGTTCTCCAGGCACCTCAAATGTAAAGCAATGTCCTTTTAAAAAGTTTGAGTGGTTCTATTATTACACCCATGAGTGATGCTCAATACACTCCACTGTCATTAATCTTATTTAATACAGTTGGAAACACAATCATTTACCGTTCTTCAGGATTAAAGATGGCCCTTAATAGATGACATTGGTAAATCCAGACAGTCGTAAATCTGCCTTCCCATGAACCTCAAGCTCCAGCCTCAACTCCCCGTCTGCAGGAAGAGGGACAGATGTGTTGTGTCTGACCTCTTGGATCATCCTTATTTAGCAATGGTGCACTGCCTCCTGTAGTAAATTTACTTCCCAGCTTTCTCTTTTTTTAAATTTAAGCTAATGGCAGAGTTAATAATTCATCTTCCTTCATGCCCCTGGGCTAAGTGGAAGAGCCATCAGCTTGGGTAATATTGTGGAAAAAAATTGAAAATGTCCACCCAGGAGGTCAACCATCTCAGTGACTCTGTGTATAGCTGTCGTGACCATGTCTGTGGTGGGCACAGACCCCACATTTATCGTGTGTTTGTATGAAAAGGAAACCGTATTTTCTGCAGAATGGGAATGAACCAGGCAAAGAGCTGTACCCAGTGGTTTAGGAGGAAGTTTAGAAAATGCCAACTTCCTGTTCCCAGAGGAGAGAAGCAGCCATTTCTAAGGCTGCTCTGCTCCACAGGCTCTTGGCTATGATGCTGGAGGCCGGCTCCCAGGCTGTCCATGCCATAGCTCTACAAGGACTTATTTTCACTCAACAGTCACTAAAGCAGCTCTGTGTGGGGTCCAGTACTGTCCGAATTACCGACTAGATATGTGGACTTGGGAAAGTTTCTTAGCCTTATTTGTCTTAGTTTTCTGACGTGTTAAATGAAATAATAATAGCTGTTTCAGTCGTTGGGAGAACTTAACATGGAAGTGCTTTTAGCAGGATGTTTGACAGAGTGAAACTCCCGAGATGATAGCTATTATTCTTATTACTTGTTACAACTCTGGGAGGAATGTACAATTGTTAATTGTCTTGTTACATTGATGAGGAAACTGAGGTAGAGTCCACGCTAATTCTCTCCTGAGCAACAAGAAACTAAATGTATCTACTACGCAGTACAGTGGGTGAAACAGCTCCCTCCGCTGGCGGCCTCGGGTTAGACAGTGAGCTCTTAAATACATGCAGCTAGAAGTTAAAGCCCTCAAACCGCTTTGAGCACCGCCCCCCACCCCCCGTCCCGCCTTTCTTTTTTTTTTCCTTTTGTACCGAGGATCGAACTCAGGTCTTTGCGCTTGCGAGGCAGGGGAGGGGGCGGAACCACTGAGCTAAATCCCCAGCCCCTGCAAAACTCTTCCTAACTGGGATCAACAGACCCTCTGCGAGTCCCCTGGAGCTGTCCCAAGCCCACAAAGCCAAAGGCTTCCTTAGTGCAAAAAACCTCTCCTTTCCGTGAGATGCCGAATACGATGTACATGTTGGCTACAAACTGCTTTGAGGCTGTGGCTGTCCTGTTTGCTGGGATCCCCAAAGGGGAAGCAATCAGCCCCCTACACCTACACCTGCTTCCCAGATTTAAAAAAGCGATTTTATGCTCAATCCCAGAGCAATGGCACAAAAAGGGAAGATGGGGAGATTATTAAATACATGGATAAAATTTTTGGGATTTTTGGGCAGTGTTGGGAATTGAACCCAGGGTCTCATGCATGTCAGGTGAGGGCTCTCACCATGAGATACATCCCCAACCCCTAATATGTGGATTTAAAAGAAAATGATGGCCCCAGGAATTTAGTTCAGTGGCACCATGCCTGCCTCAAAAGCTCAAGGTTGTGAATTCTATCCCCAGTACCCCCCCCCAAAAAAAAGAAAGAAAAGAAAACTATGGCTCTTGCCTATGTCCCTCTTTTCATACCTACCTGGTTCTGGGCGGTGTGCCCAGCTGATATACTCACCGCTCAAACTTCTTCACATGTTAGGGTTGACATTTAGAACAACGTAAGGAAGAAAAATTACCCACAATTCCCCTACGCAGAGACCATCAATAGCAGTGTTTTGGTGCATGCACTTCTAGACTTTCTGGGATTCATGCATAGTATAAGCACAAAAATCATGCTGTAGATACAGTTTACTTCCTGCTTTTTTTTTTTTTTTTTTTTCTGGTGGTCCTGGGAATGGAACCCAGGGCCTTAGTGCAGGCTGAGCAAACCACCCAGCCTGAGTCTTGCCTTTTCCACTAAACATTATAACAATGACAAATTTCTTCTGGTCATTAGGTGTAAATGCTTTCTTTTTCACCTGGGTCTATGGCAATTGTCAACTTTAGTTCTCTGATATTTGGAAGGGCTGAAGCTGACACAATGCTGTAGAGCAAAGGGTCTTGGGAAATGAGATGGATTTCTGGAACTGTCTTGGGGGTGACACTGGGCTGCAGTCTCTGTATCTTTCAGATGGGTCATAACTGCACCTGGCATGCTAGTGAAAGCCAGTGGAGCCTCTGCAACACACAACAGGAGGGACTAAGGTCAGTCCTCTTCCATGCTCAGCTTATTCTCATATTGCCCACCATGGCTGGGCACAATGACATCCAGGTATGAACTCTGCCAACAGCACTCCCTATACTGTGTGCTAGCACCAAGTCAGAACTAGCTGGCTTATGGCTAAATCAAGTTCCATTTAAACAGTTACCTCCAACTTCTGGAAAAGCAAAGATGAGTTTAGTGTGGCAGAATAAATGAGGTACAGCCATGGCTAGAACTAAGTTGTTGAATATCCCATCAATTGAAGCTACGGATAGCAGAAAGCATTTACTGAGCTCTTACAATATATGAAACCATTTTGCTTTATTTTCTAGCAAATGTTAGAGTTGGTACCCTCTGTGAACATAGCTTCTATATTTTCTCCTGGTTCTATAATTTTGCTTTGGTTTTTGTTAATTTTGTTCTTTAAGAACACTTTCCCCTACTAGGATTACCGGCCACATGAGGTGGTCCAGCATAGTTATTAAGGAGTAGCTTTAGCGTGGCAACTGCATCTGAGTTTGAGATGTAACTTTATCCTTTCTACACCTCTTTCTTTGATTATGAAATAAGATAATGTCTCCTCTGGTAGTTGTCAGTTCTAAATTGGAAAATGCACATGAACATGTTCAGCAGAGTGCCTGATACAGAGTGAACACTCAATAAATGATGGTTTGCAGTATTGAACCAGGCACTGTCGCTTATAATTTATCTTGGTGCCTGGATCCTGGTGCTTAATGCTTACGCTACTTAATTCACCCTTTCTGCCTCCTTATTATCCGTGAGTGCTCTATCTCTACTCCTTCCAAAGTGGAGTGATCCTTGAAGAAGGCTTCTTGAGAAGAGGAGCCATTGCTTATTCATCTTAAAATCTTACATAGTGCTTTGCACACAATAGGCATTCCATCAATGGAGATGTGAATAAATAACAATGTCTTGAATTTCACAAAAACAGGAAAATGTCTTAGATTTCACAGAAAGTTGGAGTCAGCCAACACTTCAAAAGGTTAATCTAATGATAGATATGTAACTTTTAGAAGTGATATAGAAAGGGAAGAATTAATGGATCTGATGGACACAAACATCATTTTCAGTAAAACCGGTCACTCTAAAGCCAGGTCCACATCAGAACAGTCAACTCGGAGTATGACTCACGATTCTGTCCCCATTTGTTGGACAGTGTGCAGCAATTAATCTGTTGCCAATAGAAGTTTAAATGCTGAAGTCTGAGAATGATTCAAGGCTGCCCCTGACTGATGATGTCACTTAGTCTCATGTAAGATCAAGTACGCTCTCACCATGAGCACTAAAGGGCTGGGGTGTTGGGATAGTGAGAGCTATTTTTCAGGGTATCTCCCATGGCTGAGGGAAAGACACCACGTACATGTTGGCTTCGAAACACAGTCAGAAATGGGTGCATGTTCCCTGGAAACCCCATGTTATCTCATACAGCTTTAAACCCCAGGGTCTAGGCTCATGCCTGGCACATAGTAGGTGCTCAGTACATACATGGGACATAGATGAATGCATAGATTCTGTGGATTCATAGGACTCTGTAGATTTTGACATACCTCATCAAGATTATTAGAGAATCCTTCCCTGTCATGAGGACATTCAGATTGCTAAACTCTCATGACACCCTTTAAAATAAATTGAAGTACTGTAATGCTAAATTCTATTATTTCTAATGCAAGTATGGCTGACCTGGCCAGAATTTTCCAGCATCTATGATAGCTGGAAGTTACTTTTAATATTTCTACCACGTACCCATCATCCTGTGAGTCAGTGAGGGCATCCCTATATGACTTTTTGTTGTAATATCATTATAGCCCTTTGGGAAAAAATGTACTGACTGTATTGGTTTGCATCACATTGCAAATACAGTCGGCCCTGTGTATCTATCAAATTGTGAACTGTAAATATTTGAAAGAAGGAAATTGTGTCTCTGTTGACATGGACACTTTTTTCTTGTCACTATTCCCTAAACAATACAGTATAACAGCTATTTATACAGTTTTACATTATAATTGGTGTCATAAGTAATTTAGAAATGATTTTAAATATACAGGAGGATGTACACAGGTTATACACAAATATTGCTATTTCACAGAAGGTACTTGAACGTTCATGAATTTGGTATCCGAAGGGAGTCCAGGAACCAGTTGCTCATGGATACTGTGTGTGTTGTATGAAATGGTTTGTCTAGTTGTATTTTTTGATTCACACCTTGGTTTCAAGGCCCTACCAACCTCTGAAATGTTTCAAAAAGTCAGGCTAGAGGTTGTTTCTTCTGTTACAATGGGTTTTGATTCTTCAGGAAATGGAAGTATATTTACTCAAAACAAATTTAACTGTAAGACAAGCTGCTCTGGTGAGAAGACCCAGCCCTGGGATTAAAAGAAGGAAACCAGAGAGCTATTCATGTAAAGCTCTAGACCTATGTTTGTGTCTTGTTCTCTGGCTTATTTTTAAAATCAGTGTCCTGTAAACCTATGCTTTCAAGAACCCAAGACCCTCCAGCGCCCTCCTAGGCCAGAGTAGTGGTCCCTAAGTCCCCCAACACGCTGCAGCTGCTGACGGCTTTGACACCAGTCTGCTGAGAAGGCCAGAACCCTAGGATGTCCCCTGGATGACACACACATGATTGCCATAGTCAGGTTTGGAAAGCGCTTTGATTCCCAACAGTTCTGCAGGTGGAAAAGGAAGCATAACTCCCCTGAAAGGTACCACCTACCTAGGGGGAGGAGATGGAGAACAGGGATTGAGGCTTTAACCGCCCAGGACACTCCATAACTTACAGTCTACGTTGTCCAGTACGGTTTTGGAACCTGGGATTTCAATCCTGGGTCATACAATGCTTGGAAGGAGACTTGGGTACAACTAGCCCAACTCTTTCATTGCACAGATTGCTAACAGAGTCAGCATTTGTGAGTTTACTGTGACACAGACTGAGTCACATCACACAGCCCTAAACTCTGTTGCCTACTGCTACCGGCACCCCTAACCCTGGCCGCCCTCAAAGTGCTGATGAGGACAGTGAAGGTGGGCGTGTCAGGACCACGAAGGAGAAAACTACTCATCAGAAACCTTCCCAGTGGTGCTCCTGAGATCTTCATATGATGAAGGCAGCAAGTGCTGATCATGTTGTCATGGAATGCAAGGTGCTCTTTGTTACACAGCTGACCAAGTTCAGGTACAGGGGATGGGACTCTGGCTCTCACGCAGCACTGACCCCAAACTCTCCTCAGCCTGGGGACCTTCTAGATTTTCACTCTTCACCCTTGGATGGGTTCACTCACTCTCAGGTTGAGTTACTGCTCTAGGGATCAATGGATTTCAGTTTGAAAGTTCTGAGCAAAGCTTTCTCTTGCCCACATATGCCACTGACAAGCTGCCTAGATTACAGGTCACTATAAGATCACATCCTGGGACAGAGTCCTACTGACATGCCCTGCTTACCCCCACCCCAGGATCAGTTGAAGTTCACACGAACTTTGTGCTTATCAAAGATTGCCAGTGGGTCCTTTATACCTGGGGGCATCTGTACTCACAGTTCTGTTCCTGCTGCTGGAATTTCCAGGCCCTATCTGGGACCTTCACTCCTGAAACCCTCAATAGAGTGAGTTCCCGGCCACTTCTCAGTCCAAGGGACACTGTCGGAATCATAAATGAGGGTGAACACTGACCTGAGGGGGCCAATGTGGATGAATTTTCCTGGCTCACCCACCACAGAACAAGTGACCTACAACAGCCTTTCCAGTTTGTCCTTGGGAACGGGCCTCATTGTGACCACCAGGTGGCAGCAGAAACCAGCTACAGTGGCGCAAGGCACTGCTGTCTGACAAAGCAAGCAAAAAATGTTTAAAAATGGTTATCCCAGATCTACCCAGAGTTCAAGGCAGCTGCACAAAGGAGGAGGTCCCAGTAGCTGTTATATAAATACACCTTCTACTTTTAGATGACATAGAGGTGAGGAAGTTTGCCAGTAATTACTGGTTAACAATTGGGAATCTTAACTTTTCGTGCGCCGTAACCCCTTTGGTAGTCTGATGTAGTTATGTGTTGTTAATCACATAAAAGAAAATTCATAGGATTCTCGAGGGATCCAATTATATTGTAAAAACAGTTATCAAATTCTGGGAAAATGGGATAAAGCAATATGCATGCTTTTTTTTTCAACAGCTTAAGGAACAAAACAGCAGATCTACTATCATTGTGATTTTGAAGTGATGATCAACATATAGGATATTTTTGTGATACCAGGAAAATCTGTAATATGACGTGTAGATGTCTGTGATTTCTTTGGACAGCCACAAAGTTACAGGATTTGCTGACAGTCATAATGGGAAGAAATGCTAAATTTTAGTTTGAAATTATAAAGTTAAAAAAAAAAATCCCTATCCAATTTCATGGACCCTCTAAATTTTCTCCATGGGTCTCAAGGGGCCATGACAGTCATAGACAGAGGGACCTAAGGACTGGAACCTCCTGGGAGGAGACTGTCTGCTCTTTCTCCAGTTTCTATACAAGGGACACAGGCCTGTCCCTAGGCTACTGAATTCTGCTGTGTTCTTGCTTCAAAAGGAGTTGCCTGGGATGATCTGGGTGACTCTCATTGCTGTTGTGCTTATTCCCTTACTGTGACGTTTTCTGGTGCCAGCACTGGGGCTTACGAAGGATTTAGGGTATGTCCAGGACCGTAATCCACCGGGGCAGCCTTGGTTGCTCTTAAAGGGCATTCTGTTGCCACCCTGGCAGCAGCAGGATGGAACCTGGGTGTGCCTGCCAGCCTGGTGTCTGCATAGCAGCACCTGGAATGAGGAGAGGGCACACGACAGGGCTGCTCAGAGCCAGACTGTGCTCCTGAGGCTGTGTGGGGTCGCTTCATCCTGTCCAGGCCTCCGTTGGAATCCAAGATGGTCACTGGACATCCCCCACCCGCAGGAGCCATAGGGCTGAGACGCAATGATATTGGACTGACAGCTATTTGGTAACCATGGGGGCAGTGCTGTGAAGTGCTGTGAAAAAGCAACAGCAGCCATATTGAGCACTGAGCAGGGGAGGCTTTCTTAGTCTTTCGAATGGGCAGCACCTCTTGTAGTTAGGGGTTCTGGGGTTCAGTTGGCTGTGGCACTTGGGCAAGACTCTGTCTCTTTTTAGGCCTCAGTTTCTTCATTTCAAATGAGTGGCTTTGTGGTGAGCCAAGAGGCCTTCTCCACTCTTCTTGGTATAAATGATGGCGTGATCCTGGGCTGCTCTGCCTTGGTTCTGGCCAGCAGCTGTGGCTCTACCTTGCTCCTCCCTAGTTTGAAGAAAACCTTTCGGGCACCCAGTTCACTGTGAAAGGCAGTGGCAGCCTGTGGGTAGCCTTGTTTCTGGTCAGAGGTAACGCAGGCTTCTCTGGCAGCAGCCCAAACTAGGATTTAATAAATGCCCTGGAGCTCAGGATGTAATCTCCAATCTGAGTGCTCCATAAATAACCTCGTCTGGAGCCTGGCCATTTGCTGTGGCTGCCATTGCTCTAGCAGAGCAAATTCTCAGGCTTTTCCAAACAGCATCCAGGAGAGGCCCAGTGGAGTGAGGGACTCTTGTTCTTGAGCCCTGTCAGGTTACAGCTGGAAAAAGCTCAGAGGCTCAGTGGGAAGACAGGACCCAATGGCAGGCACATCCTGGGAATGGGGACCATGCTGCCTTTGTGACCAGCAGCAGCCACCTCCAGCCAAGAACATGACCCAGCTTTCTGGGCAGAGACAGCACAGCAGCTAGTGGCCCTGCTGAGGCTCTGCCGCAAATCCCTGGGCATTAATAGAGCCAGCCACATTCTCCCTGAGGTGACATGAACCCAAAGCAGGAAGAATTTTCCAAAATCTCTTTGAGATGCCCTAAATTAAAAGAGCCAGACAAATTCCAGACGAGTTTAGTTGATGTAGCTACAACTTAGGGTTAGGGTTAGTGTTAGGGATACCACAGTGGTATCAGACTTGGGTAGGAGAGAGGCTGGCTCAGAAAGGATAACAGCTTTGCCTGGGTTGCACAGCTAGTAAGTGGCTGATCTGGGGCTACAGCTTAGTTTTTCTACCTCCTGTGCCAGTGCTGTCCCCCTAGAGGAAAATGCAAATTGATCCACATTTTCAGGCCATTCTGCCCTGGTTGGTGGGTTGCAATTTTATCTTGTATGCTCTTGAGTGACTGTGACCTGCTGGGTCTCTTCTAGAGAGCTTAGCCTTCTCTAAGGCCTCTTTCAGAGAGAAGCTGAAGTCTAAGACAAAGGTTACCATGTCCTTCAGCTGCTCCGAGTACTCCTCCAGTGAGGACAGGCAGCCTGTGCAGGTACCAGACTTGTATTTCCAGAACTGGGGAAAACCTGTCCTGGAGACACAATGGAAAGCTTGTAGGCTCTCAGACCATCAATATGACCCTTGATAATGCTTTTTTTTGAGACAGGTCATGCTATGTAGGGGGCCCTTGAACTCGGTATTTACCCTGGCCTGGACTTGTGCTACCATATCTAGAGGACAATGCAGTTTTTAAAAGGACCTGTGAGAGTGAAGGAGATGTCTAGTGCTGAAATTTCAGGCACAGTTACCAAGGTAGGGAATATGGCTTTTGGCAGTGGGCTTTGTAGGCTCCCTGAAAATGTGACCAGTTAGAAGGTATTTAATCAGCCTGTATATAATGTAGCCCTTGGCTGCCACCCCACTGTAATTCCTATAACAGCCTGAGACTGGGCTGGGGATTTAGCTCAGTGGTTCTGTCATCTGCCTCACAAGTGCAAGGACCCGAGTTCGATCCCTGGTACCAAAAAAAAAAAAAAACAGCCTGAGACTAGCCACAACAACAGGAAAAAAACCAATGGTGTCCTGTCTGCCTTGGCCACACGACTAACAGACCACAAAGAACAAAGGAACCTCTCAGAGCAGGGGATGAAGCCTTTCTCTTCCTTAGAGAAACTCTCCTGCAGGCTTGAAAGCCTATAGTTATAACGTTCACTAGCTCCAAATGCATTTACGGCAGCGTTACTCCCTGCTGGGCACATGTGTGGTGATGGGGCTTTGAAGATGGAGAGGACCCCTTCCCAGAACTTAAACAGCTGGTTATCCTACGCTGGTAGGTGAGACAATGTTGAAAACAGATAGTTGCAATATAGAGCAGTACATGTTAGCAGTCTAAGTAGAAGAGTGACTCAGAGAATGGAGAAATCTATTTTCTACTATTGTTGTAGTTTGGATATTGAATGTCTTCCCAAGGACTCCTGTGTTGAAGACTTCCCTAACCTATGGTGGGGTTGTGGAGCATTTATAAGGTGAGTTCTTGTCTTAGTCAGCCTTTTCATTGTGGAGAAACAGTACCTGACACTTACAACTTACAGAAGGAAAGTTTTAATATAGCTCATGGTTTCAGGAGGTTCAGTCCATGGTTAGTAGGCTCCAAGGTGGAACCCTCAAGGGAGAAGGGTGTGATGGAGCAAAACTGCTTAGTTCATAGTGGCCTGGAAGCAGAGAAAAGAAACAATGCCAGAGAGGAATGGGCAAGGGACCAGATATAGTACCCAAGGTCACACCTCCATGACTCACCCAGACACACTCGAGAGTGTTACTAATCTGCTAGGTATTTCTTAATCCAATGAAAGTGACATATCAGAGTGAAGGTCACAATCCTAGTGGAAGGAAGTTAGGTCCCTGGGAGTGTCCTTTGAATGGTATATCATGTCTCTGGCTCCTTCCTCTCTCTTCCTTTGCTGCCTGGCCACCATGAGGTGAGCACCATGCATTTCCTCTGTGATGTGCTGCCTCACCACAGGCCCAAAGCAAAACAGCTAACCATGGACTGAGCCTCTGAAACCTTAAACCAAAGTAAACCTTTCCTTCTTATAAGTTGTTTGTCTCTGGTATTTTGTTACAGTAATGGAAAACTGATTAGCATACTCATGATGGAGGAGGTTCTGGGTCTTGAGGTATAAATAGGAGCTTACCAGCATATCTAGGCCAAGGGAACAGGATAGGAAAAACATGAAGGTATTGAATACCACAGCCATTGCCAGGTCAGTTCTAGGAGTCTCCAATTTGGTGGTGCAAGAGGTGCCAGGGAAAAATGTAAAGGAGCAACCTTAGCCTCTGCTGAGGTTTCTGCAGAACCCTCCCATCCTTGTAGTCCACAAAATGAGGACAGGATGTTGCTGGGGAGCTTTCTGTCTGCATGAGGGCTAGGGCTGCCTGGAGTGTTAGGGTTAGGGGAAAAGGTGAGCCAGGGCTGGGTTACCACTGTTCCTGAGATGGGGCTTAAGGTGCCAGCCAAGGCAGGTACTGAATGATGATTAATAGGAGAGTCACATGAGCAGATTCAGACCTAGAAAACCCCACCCTGGTGGGGAGAATAGAAGATGGGGTAGGAGGAGGAGAGGACAAGACTAAGGTGAAGGGAACAGTCAAGACAATGGACAGTCTAGGCAAGGGAAGCTGGCCTAGTGGGAGAGACAAGGACTTACGGAGAGCCATTAATTACAGAAGCAGAATCCTAGGGCAATTTATGAGACATGTCATATATTAACCACCCCCCATCCATGGACAAGAGCTCCCAGTGGATGCTTGAAACTGTGGCTGTACCAAGCCCTACATATGCTATGTTTTCTCCTAAATATACATACCTGTGATAAAGCTTAATTTATAAATTAAAATAACAATAATTGTAACAATGTATGGCAAGAAAAGTCATTTAAACCTTTGACTTTTCTGTTTCTGGCATTTTTCATGTAATATTTTCAGATCTCCATTAACAATGGGTAACTGATACCAGGGATGGGGCCGCTGCTGAGTCTGAGTCAGGACCAATACACCCCACAGCACTGATGCCTTCTGTTGGTGACGCACATGTTTTTCTTCTGAATTCTGTGCAGGCAGCTTTCTGGCTTAGATAACGAAGTGACAGATGGCAGCACTCTTGGGATTTCTCCAGGCTGGACTTTCTTAGAAATCCCAAAGATTTTACTGTGGGGCAGGGGCCAGGGGTGGGGCAGGCGTGGGGGATGAAGTAGGAATGATGGGGAAGGTGGCTTGCCTCTGAGCAATAGTCACATGTGGGGCTCTGTGGCAGGTTCTACGGGGTCCCTGAGGCTGGACTCAGAGGCTCCTGGTGATGAAACATCTGGCTGTAGCATCTGGCCACTGCCAGACTTTGACTCCGAGACCCAGGCTCTCTACCTGATGTCGGGAACAGCACCCGACTGGGGCTGGCAGCATCCACTTCCCTGGCTCATTTTGGCCCAGCAGGGACAGAAGACCACGGTTGGCCTGGCAGAACCTTTGGAAAACCGGTGCCAGGGACCTGGGCAGGACCACTATGCTGGCTCGGAGCCCTGGGTCACATGGGAGGAGGGACCAATGCACAATCAGTTGCTGCTGCTTAGTTCCACATTTGATTAAAGCATTACAGGCACCCAGAATATTGTACGTAAGTGTACAGGTTGTTGAATTTTCACAAAATGAACACACCCACATAATCAACATTCACCAAGAGACACAACATTGGGCCCGGGGATTTAACTCAGCGGCACTGCGCCTACCTTGCAAGCACAAGGTCCTAAGTTCGATCCCGGTACCAAAAAAAAAGAAGAGTCCGAACATTAGCAGCACCCCAAAAACAACCCCTCCTGCTCCTGCCAACCTCCACCCCCTTAAGGCTGTCCACTGTCCTGACTTCTAACACTGCATATTACCTTTCCTGCTCTTGGAACTTCACAGACTAGGATCACACTCCATGTGTCTCATGGGCCTTCCGGTATTCAACAATATGCTCGAGAGATTCAGGCATCTTATGTGTTTTGTAGTAGTTGTTCCCTGTCATGGATGTCTGGCTTATTCATGCTACAAGTACTCACCCAAGCCTACTGCGGATGGACACGTAAGGAGTGTCCAGGTTGGGGTTATTACCAGAGTAGCGGCCATGAACATTATAGAACATGCCTGTTGGGGTACATAATGTGTGGCATATTCCTGGGGTTGCAGGGCAGATAAACAGCCTTAGTAGACACTGCAGGCAGTTTTTGAAAGTGGCTGAAGCAATTCATGCTCTCACCAGTGGCGTGTCTCTGGTGCTTGGGAAGCCTGTCTTTTTCATTCCAGCCATTCTGGCAGCCGTATGGTGGTATCACATTGTGGTTGCAATGTGCATTGCCCCGATAACTAATGGCCACTGGGTTATCCTTTTTGGGGAAGAGCCTGTTGCTGTCTTTTGTTTGGGCAAATTGACTGTTGACTGAGCATGCGTACAGAATCTCTGAGAGGAAGACCCTCACTTGCAACGCCATAACCTCCTGTGAGGCAGCCAGACATCCTCTGGAATGGGAAGTGTGTTGGTTTTGGAGGGAAACCATTCTGAGCTTGGATCTGGTTCTGCCTCTGACTGTGAGCACGGGCAGTGGCTCTGCATCTTCAGCCTCACTTTTTCCATCTGCAAGATGGGTATAATCATTTCTACCTCAAAGACACCTCAGCAAGTTAACACATCTGTACTCAGGAAGCAGAGGATGGGCTTACATTCATTCAATGGAACCCTATACGGATACATCCTATAAAGATACTTGAAATTATGGTACAGAAGAAATGTGTATTGATTACATTAAACATGTTTGAGATACATCATTGAAGGAACAATACTAGGTAGCAAAACAGTGTGTTTGACACATCCTTTGTATAAAATTGATGAGAGAAAGAACTAGAAGAAAATATATCTACACATTAATCATGGTTGTCTCTAGGTAACAAGGCTGAAAGTGCCTTTAATTTTCTTCCCTGTGTTTTTCTCAGTATTCTAAACTTAAGACTGCATGATTGAGTTTTGGAATTTGGCTTCTCGGGTGGCAGTGTTGGGAGGTGCGGACTGGTGAGTGCAAGATCCTCATGAATGGCCTCATGCCTTCTTTCTCGTGGGTGGCTTCTTGCTCTCACGGTGCAGGTTTGGTTCCCACGAGAGCAGGTGGTTGTAGAGGAAGCTCACTCCTACTGTTTGCTGTCTTTGGCATGCACTTGCTTGCCCTTCTGCTTTGTCATGAGTTGAAGCAGCATCAGGTCTTTGCCAGTTGCTGGCTCCAGGCTCTTGGCTCCCCCCGCCTCCATCACTGTAGACCAACACAAACTTTTCTCCTTTATAAATTACCCAGTATTAGGTATTCTGTTTTAGCAATAGAAAATGGACTAAGACTGAGACCATTCCAAAGAAAAAAAAGTAATGATGCTCTACTGGAGAAATAACCTTGGAGATAATTCTCCTAACTGTTGCTGTATCAACATCTGGATATTTCTTTTCTGCAATCAATAATATTGTTAGCTAGTATTTATTGAGTGCTTGTGATGTTCCAAGGTCTCTGTGCTAGGCAATTTGCACATTTAATCATTCAGAGAAATAAAGCTCTGAGAGATCAAGTGATTTTCCCAGGGTTACACAGCCAGTGTAAGGCACAGGTAGGATTTAAACCTGAGTTGTTCCCACTTCGTAACTGCACCATATCTACTTGGCCATGGCATGGAGACTCCATGGTGATGAAATGGCTTCATCACCAGCCCTAGCACCTTCCTCCTCATTGTGGAGAGGAGCGGTTTCAGCCATCTGCTGGGGAAAATCCAGGTCAAGCTCCTACTCTACCCAGTGCGGCCTGGAACTCATTTATCTCAAACCCGATGGTGCCTGCCAATGCTACTTCCCAAATGAGGATGCCCGGCCACTCCAGCTGCCAGAATCTCAACGTTGCTGCCTCATGTCTCATGTAAGCCCAGCATAGCTCCAAAAACAATCAGGAGGGAGGTGGAGGGAAGACAGCAGCTCAGAGCGGTTCCCATCCCTACGCGCTGCTTCTTCCCTCCAGAGCCTATTGTGAGGACAAATTGGATTTTTGATACAATAAATCAAGGAGGCATTACATTCACAAAGCTTCTTTGTTTCCGTTTTAATTAAATGTACTCCAGGGGCACTGTGTTTAGGTTTTGTTTGTCTCCACCACTAGATATGAATAGAAAAGTCTGTGTTGTCACCATCAGCAACAGGACACAGAATAGAGGCCTCTCCTGTCCCTTTTTGGGGAGGAATGAAGCCACGGGGCCTCCCTTAAAGGTCTGGAGGGCTTCACACACCCCGGAAGTCCTGGGCTTCAATTAAGCTCATGACACTTTCTCCTTGTGGAGAGAAGTGGAGCGATTCTTCTGAGCTTTTCCCTCCAAAATCAATTTTTAAAAACTTCATAACAAGAAAACAAAACCTTCTTTAAGGGTCTTAATCTGACTGAAAGCCCCAGAAGAGAGTTCTGAGCTGGACTCTTTGGTAAATGAGCTGCTCTCATCCTGAAACATTTCACAGCAGCAGGTGCCGAGGGCTGAGCGCCTTCCCTCAGCTCAGGTGGCCTTCCCGAGGGTCCCAGAGGGAAGAGTCAGGCTACTTTCATTTTGGAGATGAGGACTGAGATCACGCAGTTCACCCACACCTCTGCAGCTAAGTAAGGAGTAAAGCTGGGACTCATGCCCAGGCTGGCTGACTCCAGGGGCTAAGGTCCTGGCTGCTCTGCTCTGTCGTCCCTTTGAGGTCCCAGAAAGCAACTGTCACCTGGGTTTAGTGCCGGCTGACTGTGTATAGTGGCTTGGGACAGAGCCTTACCTTGGTGCTTCTCTATCAGTCATGCTTCCTGGTGTTCAGGGGGATGTTACCCCAGTGTCACCCTTGCCCATAAACTCTGGCCTTGGCCTTGGGATTTGCTCTGGCCCACAGGACATTAGTGAGTGTCCTGTATACACTTGTACACTAAGGCTTGTCTTTCTGAATGCCCTCTCTTGGAGTCCTGAGCTACCATGCAAAGAAGTTTGGTTGCCACTGTTGGAGAAGCTTCACAGGAGAGCAAGAAATGTTAAGCCCAGCCATTCAATTGCCCCAGGGGTCACCAAAACGTGAGGGAGGGACCTTTTTATTTTTTGGTACTGGGGATCGAACTCAGAACCTTGAGCTCGCAAGGAAGGCACAGTGCCACTGAGGTAAATCCCCGGCCCCTAAGGGAGGGACCATTTTGGATGGTCCAGCCCAGAGGCCACCACCTAGACAGAAGAACCACGCCACTGAGACCAGCCTTGGTATAGAGCTGTGGGAAGTATGGTGTTAAGCCACTAAGTTTCTGGGGTGCCTTGTACGGATAACTGTTAACCCAAAAATGGCAACAGAGGCCAGGCCTGTCATTAAACGAAACGAAAATTGTCTTGTCCTAATACTCTAAACAGTGTTATTGGTTTTGCCTCTTGTATTTCCACCAGAAGTTTGTTTGTTTGTTTTTTTAATTGTGAATTTTGGCCGAGACTTAGGTCAGTGACAAATGTGATGTGTTTTCTCTTGCAAGACCCTTGGGTGTTCTCTGGGAGACAGTGGGGAGATGGACGCAACCCTCAGAATGAGGCCAGTCCAGGGTGGGAAGGCTTAGTCTGAATCAAATCAGAGGACAATGCAGCATAACTGGGGGCACTTTTCCCCTGAAGGAAAACCCCTCTCATCATCTGAGCCCACAGGCACTTCTCTGTGTGCAGTTGAGGTGACCGAGCAGTGGTAGGTGGCTCTAGATCCCCAATGAAGATCCACACCTGAAATCTGGTGGAAGATGCCAGATCATTCTGGGAAGTTAAGTAGTAACCAGAGCTGCTAGCATTCTGCTCTTGCCTTGTGCTCCATGCAACAGCTAAAAGTCCTCAGAATTTCTGGCCCCAAACAAAATCTTGGTATTTCCAAGATTGGTTTTGTTTTGTTTTTTTCCACTGCTGGGGTTAAACTCAGGACCTTCATACTGATTTACATCCCCAGCCACCCTCCTCTTTTTGCTGTTGGTTTTTATTCTTTACTGGGACAGAGTCCTGCTAAGTCACCCAGGCTGGGTTCAAAGTTGTGGTGCTCTTGATTCAGCCTCCCAAGATTACACTTATGGACTTCCATACTCAGCCAGGATTATTTTTTAAGCAAGTAGCACTACTTACCCCCAGCCATGCCAGATGTGAATCTGATAATTGCTTTCTTTTGTAGAGTCAAGCTCTTATGTCAGAGGGAAGGCAGGACCTCAGGCGGAGTGTGAAAAGTATCAGGCCGCCCTTA